TGTGAGTGCAGTTGGCATTAACGCGTTTGTTTGCGCGTATTTAAGTTTATAACATTGCACATTTCCTTTTATTTTTGTTTTTTTGAGCTAAATTATCAGTCATCTGGTAAAGGGGTTTATTATTTTTTTGGTAATAAATTCATTTTAACTGAATTTGCGATGTATGACAAACACTTATTCATTGATAACGCATTATTTTCCATTGTATTTCACTTTCATTCCTCACATATCTTCCTCGTTCAGTTGTTTGCTAATTTGTTAATATTTAACCATTACCTACTTGTATTTAGCAAAAATCACAGTTTGGTTTTTAAATGTTCCAAAAATGTTTTTTTTTTTTTTTGTCAAAGGCGGTTCTTATTTTTCTCCCCAAATGCGTTTAATATACATACATATGATTTAACTGCTTTTTAAAGACAAATATGCAAAAAGTTTGAGCAAATTTATAATCAATCTAACAGCTTTAATTTAATAGTTACAATCGGCCGCCTACGCAGGAAGGTGTTCTCTGCAAAAGGTGTTCAGACCCTTTTCTTTGGCCTTCGTCCGCGCTAGGGATTATAACCCTCACTATGTAGAATTCTCCTTTCTGTGTTGCCAAAGAAGAGGGGCTGAGCACCTTTCGCAGAGAACACCTTTCTGCGTTCTATTGGAATGAGTTTGTATTGCGACGATCTTGATTGGGTTGAATTTACCGGGATGAGTTCCTTTTGGGATGAGTTTGTATTGGGATGACATCTTTTGGGTTAAATTTTCCGGGATGAATTGTTTTGGGATGAGTTCTCTGGGATGAATTTACCTAGAACCCAAAAAACTGTTCTGAACCAGGTCCGAACTGGTCCCGGACTAGATCGAACATGATTGTGAACTAGGCCTAAACTGGTCCCCAACTAGACCCAAACTGTTCCCGCAGTAGACCCAAAAAGTCCCCAACTTGCCCCAACAGTATCTTGAACTAGTCGTGAGAGGATCTCAAACTAATCCCGAAAGAGTCACAAACTATGTCAACAAGCAACGTTGCTCGAACAGCTGATTAGTTTTGTTTTTATTTGTACTACATCTGAATTTGATTTTTGCATTTAGCAGTTACAGAGCGGAATTTTTCGTTGGGCAGGGTTTTAGCGTGGCGGGACCCAAACCCAGCGCACGAGAAGTTTTACGCCTTCTCACTTTAGATCGCTCCCGAACGGGTGTTTGGTTGCTACCCAGAGGATACGTGGATATAAATATCCGGACGTTGTGAGCTACGATTTAAACCGTACGCACAAGAATCGCCCTTGGCCACTTCCAGGTGAATGGCAGTCAAAAGTTTTCCACTTCTGCATACGGAACCATCCTGGAGAGACCAGTTGGAGAAGGACTTGGCTTCTCTTGGCATATCCAATTGGCGTCAGTTAGCACAGAGGCGAATTGACTAGCGTGCTGTTTTGGACTCGGCCAAAATCGCTTAGGCGGTTACAGCGCCAAAAAGAAGAAGAAGTTACAGAGTGCTGTTGTCTGGTAATTCTTTTGTTGGGCTGAACTGAAATTTGATGTTGATAGAGAGCTTCATGCACAAAACCTCTCCACTAACGTTCACGTTTGGATGCTTCTCTTGGGACTTGGTCGCTTGGAAAATAGGTATCGAGGAAAGCTTAAGCGAGTTCTAGCTATCCATAGCCCGATTTCTCATCTCGTACCTAAAATATCCTAAGGCAACAGGTTTCATTGTAATCTCGCCTATATACATATATAATTTCCATATTGCTAAAGCCATGTATAGCCAGAGTAATAAATATTGACATCCTTTTCGTTAACAGATTGTCATTTCTCTTAACAGATTTCTTTAGATGTATGTATTTGTGTTAACCTGGGTACTTATCGAGTTTTGGATAATTGTCTTGAAGTTATTACACAAATGGAGGAAACTTAAGTTTTACTCCCCCCACATTGAGGGCAAGATTTCAGTACAAAAATCTGTAGTTAAGAGCCGATTCTAAGCTAACTACGCACTGTGAATTTAGCCCTGAATGGCAAATGATTCTTTTTTAAAGCTTTTTCGTTTTCTGAAATAGCTACCATACGCCGGTTGCTGTTTAAGGACTCATTTTAGATTCATTTTACTCTATGGGTACAAAAGATGATTCGCTATCAATGAAGAATGTAGATTTGGAAGTGTATATATTTTTTTGGCTATAATTAATTTTGGTAGCAAAGTGAGGCATCCGGGATTAATCTTGCGTATCGAAAATCTATAGAAAAATACAGGGCCTGGGTTCAAGCCCTGGTCAAAGCAACATCGCAAAAAAATGTAGAAAAAAGATTTTTTCTTAACAGAGGTCGCCCCTTGGCAAGCAATGGCAAACCTCCGAGTGTATTTATGCCATGAAAAACAGCTTCGGAGTCGGCGTAAAACTGTGGGTCCTCCCTTTTGTGTGACAACATCAAGGCTCGGCTAAACACTAACATATTGGTAAGCGCCAATCTATATATATGACTCCGTGTGAGAAATTGATTTATATAAGGCTTATAGCTTGAACGTATTTAAAGGCATAATTATTACTCTAAAAGATAAGATTCTCGGTCTCGGTCTCGGTTCTCGGGTCTGTAGTCTCGGCCAAAGAAAGACCAACGAATCTACTTGATGATTGTGATATCACCTCCAGAAGACGGAATGAGAGATAATATTAGATCAGATTATGGTTTAAATCAACAAGATATAAGTAGAATATGATTTCCTTTTGCCTTTAACAATTTTGTGTTTAATTTTTTTAGTAGTAAAGATTCTCCTAACCATGAAATTTCGTTGGAAACAGCAGTTCAAATTACTTTTGGATATACATACATATGTATGTTAGTTTAAATAACAATGGGCAAATATATCTTTCTCGCCTGGGCATCACAATTGCCCTTTCGCCGCAGTGCTAGCACGGCTGCCACAAACTTAGAGAAAATGTGAGCAAAAAATTTTAGAAACATTACCAAAAAGTTGCCAATAATATTAAATGGAAAGTTTATGAAAGGAGCTTATTTAATTTAAACATTGTTGTGGCGGTGTAACTGAGAGCTAATTAACAAAATTTTAAAAACATAATTTTCTAATAGTGTCCTTGCACTCGTTTTTTTTTTTGACGTCTGGCGTACGTCGAAACATCAAAAAATTGTGGAAAAGGTTTTCTAAAGCGGTCTCCTCTTGATGGACGATCCCTAAATTCGTGTAACACCATCAAAACGCACAAACTGTACCAAACTGTACCAAACTCTTAACAAATATGTGGAAGTCAAGTCTTTATAGATAGCATAATTATACCCCATTTTGTTTTTTCACGGCATGTCGGTTTATGAGCGAATAAAATTAAATATTGAACTTCTCCTCGTCATCATCTATCTTATACGAATAATAACTCACAATTTCGCATGCATGCACATAATACTTGGCGCTTACACAACATGTTAGTGTTTGGCCGAGCTTCTCCTCCGATTTGTGGCGAGCGCCTTGACGTTGTCACACAAAGGGAGGGGACATACAGTTTTACGAACTTGTGTTTTTATTAGAAACAGTTTTTCATGGCAGAATACACTCAGAGGTATGCCATCGCCTGCCCAAAGGCGACCGCTATTACAAAAAAAAAAAAAAATTTCTTTCTTTTGAATTTGATGTTGGTCGGAACCTGGGCTCGAACCCAGGACTTGCGGAATGGCAGTGCACTCTCCTAACTATCACACAACAGCGGCCGCTAGTGTGTACATATGTATGTATAAACCTACCATTAAAACAAACTTCGGTGCACCGAAGAAATTGTCTATGTGCTCACGAGTAAGTTGCTATGCCGCAAATATTAAATGATATTCCACAACGAGCGGAAAGTTACCAAATGAAATTAAAAGTTACCAAGTTACCAAACAGAAAAAAATTTACCATTTATGGTAACAAATTAACAAAGTGGCAACCGTGACTGCTAGTCCAATAAACTCAACAAGACATGCCACAAAAATGTTGCAGATACATACTAAAAACATACAGATTTTTTCATTTCATTGTCCGCTGAACACATTGTAAAAGCAATGCAACTTCAATCCAGAAACGATACAACTAAAAAATTTGAAAGTTATTCTACCTAACCAGACATAACAACAAAGTTTAACCTTCAACTTTGTTTGACCAAATAAGTGTATAGTTATGTTTGTATACATCCCAGCCAGCAAAATCATCGTAAACAAGCTCGTAATTGGATATTTTCTCGAAGAAAAACCGGATTAAAAATCGTTTATGATAGCCGTTTACGACTCTTTTTCGAGCACTTTTTCGCTTTAAATTGTGCATCGCCTACGAACAGTCGTAAACGGATCGAAAAAGCATTCGTATGCGAATATTTTTTACGTCCGTTTTTTATTTGTAAACGAGTCTCGTAAACGATTAATTTACGTTAAAAAAGCGTTTTTTTACACTGCTTTATCTACTGTTTTTGAATGCTAAAAATAAAGGCAATTAATTAATTAAAATTATTGTAGTTCTTTTATTGAATGGAATTATAATTAATAAATATTTATAGTGCCGGATCTAAGTATTGGCATAGAGAATTTTTCGCAATGTATGCAAAGTTTTTTACTTGAATTTCTTTTCGCACATAATTTTTTTTAAATATAGTTAGTACTTTCAAATCAGATTTTTGAGAAAAATTCTAAGTATGCAGTTTTATATCCCATTATATTTTAGTATAACATAGTGCAAGCTTGAAGTTGCCAGAAAACCGAGTTGATTTTTGGCAATTTTTTCACGCAGTTTCTTCCATGCAAATTATGTGCGACATTTTTTTTTTTTGTATGGAAGAAACTGCGTATAAAAAATTGTCAAAAAACAAAGAGGTTTTCTAGCTATTCAAGTGTGCACTTTATTATACTAAAATAAAATGGGCTATAAAACTGCATACTTAGAATTTTTCTAAAAATCTGATTTGAAAGTAGAACTTCTTACTAACTATATTTTTATAAAAAACAATTAGAGAAGAAATCAGAATAAAAAACTTTGCATTCATGGCGAAAAATTCTCTGTGCCAATATTTTTTTTCGGCACTGTATATGTGAAGATATTTTCAGATAAATAAATATTAACAAACTATCTATTTCCAAATTAACAATTAAATAAGAGGGGTTTAATGTATATTATAAAGTAGCTGAATTTATTTTTTCTCTTTTGCCGATAGGCTGCCAATTTTTTTTGCCGGTCGTGTGCATATTGGAAGTGCTTCTTTGAAACGGAAATAAAAACTTCTTCGTCGGAGTTAAATTTTTGACGAAAAGCACCTAAAAAAATAAAGTTAAAGATTAAACTCCATTGGAAATCGGAAAATTGAATTAAATAAAAAGTGGTAATAAATAATATTATAATCAATATTTCTTATTGCCGCAGTCGTTGCCAAACCAATAGCGTTACATTTGGTACCAGTTCCCTTCCACGAGAAAAGTTCTGCTACCTCATCTGTAATAATTTTCCGCCAGTACGTTCTTAAACATTTATCTACATTTAAAATATTTATAGCTTCGAGTTCAGAAACCTATAAAGTGTTTAAAGAATGCAATAAAAATTATTTTATTATGGTTAATTTATGTTTTTAGTTACCAATAATTGTTGTTTTTCACTTGAACTCCCAAGGTCTTTTTCAAATTCCATAAATGCATGCTTTTCCTTAAATGGGCTTCTTGGCAGGACGCCCTCTGCAATGGTTGGTCTCTTATTGTTTCGAAGGGTACCATTTTCTTTCCTTAAAGCAATCACCTCTGAAAATAACCGCTCCAAAACAGCTCCAATTTTTGCATCCATCTGATTCACTTTTTCGTTTAAGGGGTCCACGGTTTTTTTTTTTAAGAAAGTGGTAGATCGTCATTTGCGTTTGCACCAGTCTGCCAATAAATCACATACTTAATAATTTTCTTAAATTAAATATTTAACAAACTACTTACTTATAAAATATTGTGATTGAAGAAAAATTGTCAACAAAACTAAAATTTTTTCTTGTGCTGACAAATTATTACAAGCCTCTTTCTATTATATTTTTTTGTTTTATCGTTTATGAGCTTTTCTCTAACTTTTTGGCGATACGAGAATCCCTCGTAAAACATAATGTTCGAAAAATGTACGTTTTCTTGCTGGCTGGGATATTTTTAACGTAAATATGTATGTCTAATGTGCAATTTAACTTTGCCTTAATACACTCGCAAGTACACATACATACGTAAAAAGTTTTTAGCAGGCATCCTGACTGGAAAGATGCTTTAATATTCTTAAGCATTGATACTTTCCATAGAAGTTACTTTAAGAATTGCAATTGGGCTGTTGGCTTAAGTAGACTTTGAAAAGTTTACAATTTTAGTGTAGAACAGAAATGCTGAAAAATGGTAATGATAATTTATTTTGCCAGTGAGATGAACAACATTCGATGAGTCGGCTCTTGGAGTATTCGAGAGAAAGATTTTGTGGAAGATTTACGGGCCTTTACGCGTTGGCGACGGACAGCGTCGTTCGAATGGACACCGACGCTCCAGCTCTGAAAGTATTCAACTCGGAACCCGCTGCTGGTAGCAGAGGAAGAGGGAGGAACCCTCTGCGTTGGAAAGACCAGGTGGAGAAGGACTTGGCTTAGGCGTTCTGGAAATATTTACCGAGATAGTGCGTTTTCGAACTGGCTGCCAAGATAGGTCGATCTTCCACTCAGGTTAAGAAATATTCATCATAATTCTAATCAGTAATAAACTTTTACTTCCACTTGAACTTTGTTACATTTTTTCAACTCAGAATTTATGACACCAAAAATGTGTGAGTCTGGTTGACTGAATAAATTCTGAGCACACAGAAATTGTTTAAAGGGAAGCAATGTTTTGTGGTACAATCCGTAGAGTTGAATGATTGATGATTATGTGAGCCAAGGCGAATTCATACAAGGTGGCATTGGGGTAAGCAAAAACAAAAACTACAACAACAAACTATACGCATAATGACGGCAAGATGTACACAAAAACATAACAAACACACCATTTTGATATTCCGAAGAACCGCGGCGAATTCTAGCAACACCAACTTGTATAAATTCGTCTCGATGTGTGCTGTATGAAACGCACAATTTTTGATATTTTTTTTTTTTTAATTAACGCGAATGTATTTAACTACATATACATATGTTAATATTATTTAGCATTACAAAGAGAATTTTAAGACTGAATAAATAAAACTTAGCAGATATAACTTAAATAAATTCCTCAAAAAAGTCCAGCTTTAAAAGAACTTCTTCAAAAGGCCTTCTGAAGTGTGTCCTACAAAAGCCCTTCTACAAGCTCTTCTTTGGGTAGCGAAAGCAGAAACCCTTCAATTTGTGCCAATCCATACAAAAAAAGAAAGGCGAAGGGAATGACTCTCAGAAAGGCTTTTTGGAAGAAATTTTTGCTGCTGAAATTATCTGATGGCTACTATATATGACCGCTCAGCCGTGTTCAGGAACTCGCAGCTTATTTGGCATTTGCCTTAAAATAAAAAAGTAAGATTTTAACCAAATAAAGTAGACAGAAAGAAGATTAACTCCACAAGAAATCATTCAACATGTTAGAAAAATATTTCGTTATAGATTTTTGATTACCATTAATAGAAAGCTTAACTTTTTAATCACAGCAAAAAACTGCCAAACACGAAATGGGCGTCTATATTGACCTTAATTAAAAAACCAGGACAATTTAAGTGGGCAGATTTTATCTAAAACCAAGTATGGAAGTCCTCTTAGCTTTTTAACTGCGTGTATTGCTTATCTTCGATTTATCAGGTAGATCAGAAAAGTAAGCATTTTTTTTTTAAATAATGCAAAGCCTAATTTAATAAATAGCAACATTAATAAGCTGCCAGCTTTATGGAGAATAACATAGCAGTGAACAGTTAAGGGGGTTTCAATTTCTATTTTTAGCCATAAAATAACACATGCCATTCCAGACAATTAAGCTTTCAAAAAATTAGAAAACATGTAAATTAATAAACTTGTAAACCATCTGTCAAAATTTGTATGACAATTTATTTACGCAATGAATTGGATGATAACCTGGCGAATATGCAATCGCGAAATAGAAAATGGGTAAATCGGACTCATTGTAGTTTTTACCGAAAATATTTAAAATTTTTGGAGTAGAAAAGATAATTTATTTGAGACCTTGAGAGCCAGAGTAGTCTAACTGACATAATAAAAAATTGTTATAGCTTAAAATGCATTACTACAATCGAAACGGTAATAGCTTGAAAGCTTAGTTAGTCTAGACTTAACTTAACTTACGTAAGAAATCGTCAATGATTGCTCAACGCGTCAATTTAGGCAGCAGCGAAATATTTTCATCTGATTGTCACTTTGCCACCCTTAAGCCACATCAAAAAATTCCTGAACAAACATATACATATTGCGTTTGGCCAATATATAAGTTTACGTTATATAAATAAAGTCTAGACTAACTGACCCTTGAGGCAAGGTCTTATAATTTTCTTTTACTACAATAGGCAGTAGGTGCAATCAATTTTTCAGTAAAATACCGTATTTATTATTTAAAGATTTTTCTTTCTCATATTACTCAAAATTTTATTTAATTTAAGTTGCATTATGAATTTTATACTATGAAAAAAAATGAATTTTGCAACTATCAAAAATGAGTTCAAATTTAATATATTTTTCGTACAAAGTGTGAAATTTCGTTTTTATTATTACGGTTTTTGACTATTAAAAAAAGTACGAAGTACTCAGGAAATGTGATGTGTAAACAATCCACTTCGGGAATAGTTCAGTACTAGTTTCGAGCTACGCCAAAATGATCCCAAACTAGTCCCAAAATTGTCCTAAAAAAGTCCTGAGGCGGTTCTTAAAAATACCTGAACTTGTCGCGAAAAGATCTTGAACAAGTCTTGAAACGGTCCAGAAATGGTGCCCTACTGGTCCCAAAATGATATCAAACTAGTTTCGAAATTTTCCTGAAGTAGACCCGAAATATTCTTGAAATAGTCCTGAACTTGTACCAGTGCAAGTTTTTTTTCTAAACGGTTCGAACCACTGAACCGAAGCGCGTCGCTTTTTTTAGCGCCTTGCAGTGTTGCCAAAAATAAAACCAACTTTGCCATAAATGAAAGGTGCGAAACCAATAAGAAGTTCAATGAAAACAGGGAAGTATTAACGACTTACAAATCGCTTTCAAGTATGCTTATGTATTTGCGTGTTAATTGAGAGTAAACATGCAAGCACTCGTTTACGAGTATTGCAATTCTTTACAAGGAAGTTAATAAGCCGTTACCAAAAATACAAATATGTACTTACTTTACATATTTAAGAAATACAAATAAGTTCAAACGCTTGTAAATTTTTGAGACTCATCTACAATAATAAAAAAGAATCTATAAAAAAAGCTAATTTAGGTTAAATATTACAATTTTAGGGGATTCCTGCTAAATGTAACGGGGAAAAAATAGCAAAATAATATACATATAATGAAATTCAGAAACTTAATACGCGTCTCACACGCGAAGAGTGAGATTTGGATGACTATCAAATATTTTGTGCCCGTAGAAATTTCACAAAATGATATAAATACATACATAGGTACATAAATATGTATTCCAAAAAACGCGGCCGATAGGTAGCTAAGTAAATGAACCGATCGGAAAAGAAGCGTGCGGAGTTATTTATAGATACGTTCACATGTATGTACATATATACATAATTATGTATACATGTGCATATGGCAACGAGCATAGAAGTTCATATGTATTTGATTAAAATTTTTGTATTCACACACCCTGTAGGAAATGTTAGTTTTTCTATTAAGCATTTTGCTTCATCTCCCTTATCAAGTTCGGTAGATATCTATCTATGTATACACCCATATAAAAATTGTAAGCATTGCTTGGCTATAGGTAAATTAAGAAACTAGTCAGCAATCAGATTGGCCTAATATTTAGCCGCGCTGCTAGAAAAAATGGCTTACAGGGCAATTCTGGCAAGTGTCTTATAACTCACCACACTCTTTCGAAAGACAAAAGCCAATTCTGTCAATTCTGACAACTATCTTGAAAGCTCTTTTCTGTTTTTTTAGAAAGACTAATTAAAAGATCTGCTACCGTGGAGGTTTCTGTTAGTCTTTTAAAACAATATTTAAAAACAAATGTTAGTCTTTTAAAACAATTAGATAATTAAAAGATAATTAAATTAAGAAAAAAAAAATATAAAACAAAAAATTTATTAAAACAGGTTTATAAAAATTGAGTAAAAAAATATAAAAATAAAAATTTTTTTAAACAATAAAGTCTACAAACTAAAAGAAAATGAATGAATGAATTTAAATTGTGGATCTCCCTAATGACACGCCAGTACTTTGCTCGCTCGGTCATTGTGACATAGATCTTCATTTGAAACATGCTCAAGTGCTTTCTGTCGAAGGAGCTTTTCACCATGAAACGTCGCAAGGGAGCTTCTTCCTTAAAGTAGCGATCACACGTGTTATACATATTTGTACAGAGATGTACATTTTGGCAGTCACAGAGTGATGTTATCTAGAAATTTTGATCGAGAATTAGTTCAGCTCAGTAAAAAATTTCCAAAAAATTTCACTCGGTAACTGTCAAAATGTACTCTCTGTACAAATGAATAAATCGTGTGATCCCGGCTTAAGAATTGGGTGCCAGAAGAAGCAAAATCTTTCAAACGATCTTGCCTGCTTTCTTTCAATTGCCTTATGAAAGACTCGCAACTACCAAAATAGCCCTGTTCAACTTCTTGGAACGAAATACCCAATTTTCATAAAATTTTTTTTATTTGTGTCAAAAATTCCTTTTGACTTGGATCAAGTGATTTTTGGTTTCGGTACTACATACGTAGCCTGTTCATTTTTACTATTTTTACCCGCTTTAGTGGCCTTGTGCGTCATTTATCCGTATTCTTTTTTGAAAGCGTTGGTGAGGCCTACGGTTAACGACAAGC